GTTACTAACCCAAGAATTTTTTTTATCTAAGGGTTAATGATTGGAAACTTATTATTCACAAAATTCTCTCGAGATAAGAAAAAAATTTCAGACGAAGTCGTCGTAACTTGAGCTGCATGATAGATAATTTTAGATTTGTTGGGATTTCCAGTAATATTGCAGAACTTGAATTAAAAATTTAAAGCTTCATTAACAGTTTGTTTATTTACACATTGTAGCATTTTATTTTGGGGGAAAAGCGGCTCAGCAGAAAGGATTTTAATAAAAAAAACCCTATCCTAAAACAAAATTTGACGGTTCCTTCCATTTTCATTTCATCTTCGAATTTTATTGCATGGCAAAACAAATATGGAAGAATTGAATATGTGTTCTGATTTTACAATCAAACCACCAAAGCACAAAGCAGCACTTTTTGAAAATGGTCCTTTATACTCCGGTATCACCTTCCAATGAAGTAAAACATATAAAAACTGTGAACCACTCAAAAGCAAAATTAATGATATACTTAAAAGAAAAGCATTCTTTTGTGTATCAGAATACATAGGTGACATGTTTTTAAAGTGTGCACGGATTTTTATATGAATTGGGTTATACAGGGTGTTTCAAAACTCATGTGCCATCGCTAAAGGTGAGATTTATCACATCAAAATAAGACCTGCTTTTTATGTCAACTACACGGTGTTAAAGAATTTATATTATTTTGATTTACTCTAAGTTTCCAAAACGACTGTAGTAAACTTTTTTTCATTTTTAATCTTCTGGATTTCTCCTGTGTCGGTTATTTATAAATCAAACTTTCGCTAATCATCCTGTTGGCTTCTTAGATAACGGATTCCTATGTTGGCGAAAGGTAAAGACCCGAGTTTCGGTTAAGATTGTGTGATTGCTTACAGATATCCGTTGCTTCTCGGATTTTTCTTTTATAGAAGAATTGATTATATTCAAGAATTTTGGCTATATCCAATAAGATTTAATGTTCGGTTTTTCATGCAACTGCTGATGGTTTTATTTGTCATATTCCAAAGGTTCTCTTATCTTCTTTAAGTCTAGTTGATATTTTTCGTTCTGTTCCTCCAATGTATGCCGCATATGCACGGAATGCTGTAAACTTCTGATACATTAAACGGTTTTTTCTACTCCCGTCTGTAAAATACCTAATTACCCACCGATCTAGCGTGCGGGAAGGTGACTTTACCACGTCAATTTCCTTTCCCACGAATCCGAGCCACTTCGGACATTTCGAGGATTTTACCGCACGGAGTTGGGAGCAATCGGATGTTTTCGAAGATATTTCCCACGCTTTGAATTTTGACGTTTGTCAATTCTGACGGTCATGAATGAATCATGAATCTATTCGTGTTGTTTTACGAAAGTGTACCCAAAAGCTAACAGTCGTAGAAAAAGTATAGTATGCAACACGTTCGGTAAACTTTTTAACTCACTCGTTTATTAAACACTCGCTCCGCAAGTGTCACATAAACTCGTGAGCCAAATAGCGTTTACTGCACTTGTTGCATAATATACTATTAACGTTATATTTCTTAAGAACGTTTGATATGTGATCAGTTATATTTTAAATTTAAGGAAGGACAACAATTGTAAGTGTGGTGTTGCTTTCCGACTCATTTTCTTTGGAATGTTGTGGTGATGTGTATTTTGTGATGGAACGCTTAATATCTCTAATGTGGAGTTTATTTGAGAGAAGAGCCGATGTTTTATTTCTGGGTTCAGTAACTGGGGTGAGATTGTTTTACGGCTCTGTAATCATCTGTCTGTCTCTGTAAATACTTTTGGGTCAGCCAGTAATGTGACAATGCATTAAGGCACGGTGCGTAGGTTTTTGGTAAACAGAATGGCCCAATGCTAAGTTTGATTTTCTATTGACAAGAATATCTAAGAATGAGACATTATTATTAGTTTATAATTCGTTAACATAACGTTGATCAGATTATGTTTTTCAGAAAGGGTATACAGGGTGGGATTTCTGTGTGCGTTAGCAGTTACGTCAAGGCAAATAACAAGTACATGCCCAATTACGATCCACCAAAACAATCAAATTATGTCACATTTTTCGACGTTAATGATCTTTGCGGCAAAGTCATGTCGGAGCTTCTGCTCTACGGCGGATTCAAATAGCTAAGTCGGGATGAAATCACTTTCTTTGATGTTGATTAAGTTTCAGACATAGCTACATTTTGGAGGCCGATTTGCAATATCCTCAGAATTTACGCGAACTGCATAAAGATTTTCCATTTTGCGTCGAGAATCGCGAACTTGCCAATGCAAAATTATGCAAAAGGTTATAGACTATATTCATTTGTTGATTTCGATCTCTTTGAGATCAATTCAATTTTATTTAACTGTATTAATTCAAACCTAAAGTATTTTTTATAAGTTTTTGATAAGTATTTAGTAATTTGTTGCGTGATTTTGTTGCCTTTAGAATTCCCTTTTCCCATTATAACTAGACCGAATTAACTGACATCTTATTAGTTCATAGTGATGCGAGGCAGAATGCAAAAAAAGCGACTAGAATTTATGAAAAATCTGCCGTCTTCTAAGAAAAATTGGTAACTTAAAGATTTTAAAATCTAATTGAAGGGCCAAAAGATACCGATAAACTGTTCCAGTTGAGAAGATAGTTCTCAATGCAGTAGAACGTGAGCCTACTACAAATACTAGAATAGTTTCTAACGACATATGAAATATTTCCGCATCATCTGTACACAGAATCTGACAAGAGCAACAATTAAAACCATACCACTACACACGTATTCAAGAACTTTGGCCAAGAGATTATGAGCCTGCGCAAGAATTTTCTCCGTGGTTTTAAATAATTTTTTTGCAGATGAGAAATCATTTACAAGTTCATAACTTTTCGTAATCCTATTCGCTTTCTGAAAATATTTAGGCTGGCACTATTGGAAATCAAATTATTGATCCAATTATTTTACCACATAGAATCACGTTTCGTAGTTAAATTTTCTGAGGAATGATCTGCCCCAGAATGATGCCTGTATCAGTGAGAAATAGAATGTAGTTTCAACACGATGATCGCTTGACTTGAATACTTTAGATTTTTATTTAAGAGGACATTTAAAGGAACTTATTTATAGTTTAACGGTACACCTGAAGAACTGCCTGAACGCATAGAACACATTCAAACCGGTTCAACGAAACTGAGGGCTTGTAATGAAGCTGTAGATAGCTATTTTCCCAACCTACTGTAATTTTATTTAATAAACTTTGAATTATAGTTTGTTTAAATTAAGAGCTTTGAAAATCATAAAAAAGATATTCAATACAGCAAATATATATTTATTTAATTAAACTTAATCGGCAAACATTCAAGAGGTATCTTTTAACAGGCACTAAATAGTCAATGGAGGGCAGTTTTTTTTTAGAAAAGTATTGCACCGATATCCAAACTCTTTTTGTTGTAAAATATGTACTGGGTATCCCCTTTTGGGCACTTTTATGGGGTATCTCGGTTATTTACTAGTATACAAAGTTCCGGTTTACGTTAAACTGTGCTATGATGATTTATAAGCTTCTCAGAAGTGTATATTAGAAAAAAGTAAACAATTATTAACATACAAGAAAGTCAATACTTTAAAATTAAATTATTTAAATGTATTTTGCATATATCCCCATAAAAAGAAATCTAAAATTGAAAGATCCGGAGATCGTGGAGGCCACATGACAGATCCGTTGGTACTTATCAATTTTTGGTGGGAGTTGTCATCTAAAAATGGTCTTAAAATTCCGGAATTATAACTTGGGGCACCATCTTTCATATATCATTATAATATACTAAGGGAATATCTTCGAGTAATTCTGGAATGACTTCTTCAAGAATGTTTAGGAACCTAGATGCATCCTTCATAAATTCGGTAAGCTATTCGTTGTCCCAAAATTAAAGAAGATACCCGCCTTTGATGGACCCTTTCAAAAATTAAATGGTGGTTTTGTGTGGACCAGTTCCTCTTGTTATGGCGAAAGATTCCCGAACTTGAAATGTAACGTTCCTCGGAGCATATTACAAGTGTTCCAAAAAAACCGTTGATTCGTATTTTTTTGGGCAGTCATCCTTGGTACCCCGGACTGCTGGTTCTATGTGTGTGCAGGATAATATTAACCTAATATATTTGTTTCTCTTTGCTCCCTATTCTTCTCCAAATAATTTTTAGAACGTGGTTGAATAAAGGATCCGTGCCTAACTAGATTTATTTTCAAACGAGCAACTATATTTGGAAACGGTTGTCGTCTCTCTGGATATCTAATAAAACTAAAACAAATTTCTATAGTATAAAAGTTATACTGACTATATCCCCTTCAAAACCTTACCTGTGGGCATTTTCATTGAACTGTATAAAACATCTCAACATATCCTATTTTTGAGAATTTTCATACATTGCACTGCCATTATAATAGAAAATTAATTAGAATGAAATAAACGCAGAAAGAAGAAATGTTTAGGTGAAAATGAAAATGAAAATTAAGGCGAATTTGCAGATTACAAAGGACGGTTGAGATAGTCATACCTGCTATCTTACTCATCTTAAACAAATTTAACTGCTTTGGATTTACTGGCGAAAAACCAAATCCGCCATTTTAGGATATTTCTCAAAACAATTGATCCATCGTAAATCTGAAACTGGTTATAAGATCCCCGTGTGGTGAAGTGAATTTGGGACACATGGTATACACGGCAAAAATGTAATCAGAAAAAGGCAGACGAAGACATACGTTTAAGCAAATAAATATTTTTGCGTGTGCATTACTCATTATTCAGCGACTTCGGACTTAATTTACTATTTAAACAACATCTGACGTCGTCCTACGGTTAATTGTTAGTGCGAGTTTGTTTTTGTTCGCTGTTTAACACGATAATTCTTAGGACTTGTGACTACGTGCAGTGTGGCATTTTGTTAGATCTAGTGGGAGGCCTCTGCTTTGTTTTGCCTTCTAGGTAATAATGGCACCTTTTATTAGAAAATTTCTATTTGAGCTAAAATAGAAACTTGAAAAAATGACCACCTAGTGCAAAAATGATTCAATTTCATTAGGTTAGCTAATACCTCATACTACTGAAACTTTATAAGCTTTCCCGTTTGTCAGAGATTTAATAAATAACATTTGAAGAACGTGTTGTTTTGTGATTAACAATTCATTCGCTTTAACAGCTTTAACAAATGTCGATATTCGCAGAAACGCAATAAATAAGTTGAATCGTTTATTTAGTTGATTTTATCGGCAGTTCAAAATATTAGCTAGTTATCAATAACGTCGTAACAATTTTATTATTGAAATAAATCAAAATAAACCGTAAACAAATTCGTGTAGTTGATGTTATTGAACTTGAGGGTATCAGTTCATAACTGATGTGACAACAACGTTCAACATTCTTTCCCAGTCGCTTTTGTATAAAATTGCAATCGCTAAATTTAGATTATATTTTGAAAATTTTATTAATTCTTATATGAATTGCTAAGTGTAGAAAGGGGACATGTCGCATTTTAAAAATGTTCAGAAAATGAAAAATGTTATTTTTAAAGAGCAGGTAGTTAAATTAATTTTTTTTGCAGTGTGTTCTTCATAATACGTTTTATAAACCAACAAGCAATTTTGGATTTTATTTTGTTCTTTAATTGGTTGACTGTCAAAATTGGCAGACGGAGATATCTACTTCCTGTACTAAAATTAAGATTTTTTTCTAATGAAATCGCATTTTTTTTCACAAAAACTAAACTAGGTAACCAAAACTAACCAAAACACAAATTAGTATGTCGATCACTTTTTTCTTGGAAATTGGTTTCTTCTCGGTATAGACTTTTTTGTACAATTACGTTATTTCTATCTTGGTATTTCTCAGTGTCTGCTACTGGCGAGTTTATAAATTGCCTGCAAACTATTTCACGGGCAAAAGAAATCGCGACATGGTGGAGGGAGGCAATAGAAAAGGATTTCTTCTGAGATTCACTACCAAGCCAGGTTTTTTTTGCAAAGTTACGATCGCGGGGCATATTAGAATATAGGGAAGGGATATTTGTATTTGATATATTTAAATATAAATATTTCCTGTTTGCAAAACTTCTGGATTCCACCTTCGTCGGTTTTTGCGGAGTCGAACTTGCTGACGTTTTTTACTCGTATTTGACTCTGTACCTATTGTTTGAGGGGGGCGGAGCTAAATGAGGGACATAAACATCGTCTCGGATTACTGATTCCCATATTGGTGACAGGTAAAGACCTGCGTCGCGGTTAAGATTGTTTGGTTGCATATAGGTTTGTATAGATTCTCAGAATATTTGATTACATGCAAGAATTTTAGTTTTATCGAATTTTTTATCCGGTTTCGTGATTGTGTTCGGCAACTGCTGATGTGTTTATTTGTCTTAGTCTTAGGCCCTTTCATGTTTTTTGAGTCTATTTGATATTTTTCTTTGCCTCATATGCATGGAATGCTGTAAACGTCTGGTTATATTGCTTAAGTACTTTTGATATGAGGCCAGTGGTGGTTTGAATGTGAGGTAGGACAACAGTGGCAGATGTGGGATTGCTTTTGGACTCTTTGTCTTTGGAAGGTTGTTTTAAAGTGTATTTTTTGATGGGACGCCTAATATCTCTAATGTGGAAATTATTAGGGAGAAGAGCAGATGTGTTTTAATTCTGGGTACAGACTAGTAATGCTTACCAGTTTCAGTTACGCTCTGAAGAAGCCAACAGGATGATTGACAAAAAGTTAGCAAGTTTGATTCAACACCAACCGATGCAGGAGGAATACCAAAGTTTTGTAAATTAAATCATTGTGTTGTTTTTTATTTTGCCCACAACTGTAAAGAAATTTGTAATTTTTGTTTGTTTCTTATTTTTAAACACTGCATCTTGAGCTTTATTTCTTAATTCCTGCAAGAACACGATTCCATGCATTTTGCACGAAATACGGAGGTTCGGAAATATCGTCGTAATTCTCATCAGATTCACAGCCAGAATACGTCGCTGATTGCTTTATCATTGATACCCATGTTTCCATCTCTTTATTCGTTAAGCTGTAGTCAAGTTTCTTACCTAATCCCTCAATCTTTTCCAGGTCATTTTGAATCCTTGGATTCTGAATCTCGAATTTGTCTTACTAAGCACGCTAACGGAATGTCCCCTTCTTCATCACTATCATCAACATTTGGAGGTAAAATTTTACTCAAAGATTTTGTAATTAAGCCAGTGCCCACATTTTACCAAGCCTCGTTCAAAGAGAAAACAATCAGTGTTATATCCTTCAATCAACAATTTCTTGGAGCAACTTCTTACGATAAAATATTTTTATAGCCTGTGTAACGTGTTGGCTATATCAATGGTGTACAATTTGGGGGAAGGAAATGCACAGAAATTTGATTATAATCGCTGTACAATTGAGTAGGATGTCCAGGTGCATTATCGAAGACTAGAATTGCCCTCGGACTTGCGTCTTACTGATGGAACTAATTCACTGTGAAACCACTCAGTGAAAATTTCTCTTGTTACCCAAGCCGTGCGTTGACCTTTGTCCTATTTTTACCTAGGACCAACAATTTTAATTTATGGGATCCAAGTCCATTGCAACAGGGAATAAAAAAGATTCTTTCTTTACTAACTTTTCGCACTGGAGCAAAATTTTCTTCTGAATGTGCTAATGTTTTGTTGGGAAAAATTCTCCATAAAAGCCCACTTTTGTCAGTATTATATACTTGATGCGGAGTTAGGTTTTTTTCTTTCATTAAACCAGCAAACTTTCCACAAACTTAGCCTTCTCACGTAAAAGTTCCCCCGAAATTGGTGTACCTGTAAAAAAAACAGGAATTCTATCAAAAATTAATCGGAAGATTTGATATACTGCAGAGCTCTATGAAGCTACATAAAATTGTTTAAAAAGAGAAAAATCCGATATTTTATAACAATTAACCAGAATAAAACTTACTTTCTGAGCTCAAATTCATTTTAATCTCTTTACTATAACGCAATAAAATTACAATTACACATTAAAGTGTAGTATTATAACAACTTCACTTTCTTATAGTGACCTACCAAGTGATCGATTGTAATGACGTTATTAGGCTGCTCAATTAATTTTCAACGTCAATTCTTTTCTGCAGAAAGGTGACATGCCGGTTAAGCACTCTTTCTGCAGCAAATTTGTAAAAAAAGGAAATATCTGAAGAAACGCTTAAGTATGTCAATATTTTTAGTTCAGTCAATATCGGACATTTGAAGTTAAAATTACTTTTAATGAAAGAGTCGAAACTATGGTCACAGAGGGCGATAATTTGAAACACCCACACCTTTTTTATAAATTGATGTTACATTTACGGATAACCACTGAGCCGGAAGTGTACCAGAGTCCATAAATTTTCTCAAAATAAAACAAATAGGCTCTGCAAGCCTTGCTCGAAATTACATTAGGTCTGCGGGCAGAATTTTTTTAGCTCCCTGGTTCAAACGCAGTCCTGGTCCTGGATGACCTCTCCCAAGGTATTTTCAATAACGTGTTGCCTGACAAAACGCTTTGAGCCGATAACGAAAGATTAAGTAGGTTATTTTCAAAGGCCGCTTCTCTCATCTGCCAGAATCTGTTAGAAATTTTGCTGTGCAGAGCATAATCGGCAGCAGTGCCAGAGGCAGAGCTTTGTGCAAAGGCGGTAGTATTTTCAATAAAGTCGTGGTTTTCAAAAAAAATTCTGTGATAAGATAAATCAACACATATCCAATTTGCGTTCAGACAAAATGGGAAAAGTCCATTTATTTTCTTATATATTTATTATATTATCTCAGTCATTACATTCAGTGCTCAATAATGTACGTAGTTATGAAAATTTTACTGTCGGCGCCCCACGAACCAAAAGTTTTTTGTGTTTTGGTTCGTTAAACCTCCATAAATATTTTTGCTTTTTACATATATTGTTCTTTTGTTTTAAACTGAATGGCAGAAACTGATTCAGTTTCTAGGATGCTGGAATATTTGTTTATATTATAGTTATATTATATATTAAAGTAACACTAAATCACACCCAGGTAACACATATCTCGCAAAAACTTGGATGTGTTTATAAATGTTCGATTTCTCTTTATGAATTAAAATTAACGAATATTTATGTAATTGTTGAAGTGGAAATACGTGTTTTGTAAACTACGTTTTCTATTTCTTCTTACTTTTTGAAAGTTTTGAGGTTGAAACGGCCGTTTTGCACTAGTTATGTTTTGATTTGCAGTACCGACGGTACCTACGCTAATGTTAATGCTAAATTGTATCTGCCACACCTATATAACGTCACATACGAAAGGCGCTGCCTCATTAAAATTTCGTATTGACCAACAGAAATTGAAAAACATTTTTTTCAATGTCTAGGGAAACAAGATATGTGAAAATCTGTATTTAAAGCGGAAGCACTATAATATTAGGTAAAGGTGTTTAATTGTTTCTAGATACTATTGTTTTAACCGGTATAGAATAGACCATGAACTATCTGAGAAGAGAGCAAAGAAATTATTTAAAATTAAATTTATATACCCATTTTGAAGCTTCCAAGCACACTGTATCACCAATAACATCGAAAAATTAACCTTTTGACTCAAACATGGACAGAAACACGTACAGTGTGTCCCAGATTTGCTTCTCTATACAGGGCTCTCCACTCCTATTATACCTACACCTATTATTATACCTAAATGGAGAAGGTTTTAGAGGAAACTTAGTGCATTTGATAACTGCCTTCAGAATTAAGATCAGTCAATTGTACATTGTACATTTTACAGATACTTTTTTAAGATATGTCTCAATTGTCTTTTGTGATCTCGCAACCCGCGTTAATTTTCATTTTTCTTATGGTCGCCGTATTGGATTTTTCGAGTTTTTGAACGAGAGTAAAATTTCCGGTTCATTGATGTTTTATAAGTGCACAAAATAGTTTTTCACACTTCGTAAAGCTGAGTGATTTATTTATCACCTCTTTTCGATCTAAGGAATGCTCTGACTATGACGCTAAATAACTCAAAGCATTTTGCATAAACGTTAAAAAACTGTACAATTAAACTAGATTTCGAATGTTTATCTAATATTCAGTAGTATTCAGTTTTCAATATTTTGATAAATGATTTTCGAAAATCTAATACACAAGAGAAAAAAAATTCGGAAAAATCTTCTAAATTACCGCAAGTAAAAATTCATTTTCAAAGACTTTTATGGAATGGGATATATAACATTTTCTATAGGAAATTTATACACCTGTTTAAGCAAAACACAAATGAATTTTATAGTAGTAACTTTTTACAGAAAACCTCCTTTAAAAAAAAATAGGTAAAATGGCAAAAAAAGCAATTATTATGATTATTATTATTAATATAAGAGAAATGTGAAGATGCAGCTCCTGTCTGCGCAACTGCTGCAAAACATATATTATTGATGTGGAAAAAGGTAGAAAGACCTATTTTAATTAAGTTGAATTAATTAATAGAATCATGAAATATGAAATATCAATAAATTAAATTAACAATAAACACCTAATTTAGTTTTTCTTCCTTCCTATCCTTATTTACATTTCAACTGCTTTAAATTTAAATTTAAAGGCAATTTTAAAATAAAAAATAAATGAAGCACGCAGTGTCAAAACTTTCAAACATCTTTCGCAACTACCGCAATGCATGTCCGAGTTTTTCTATTGTTTATACCTTTCCCACAATGGAGGTAGGAAATTAAGATGTGCTCACTTTCTATATAAGGTCTGGAAAGGGTTAGTGGTATAGCTCAATAAATGGTCATCACTGTAATAATCCAATTCATGTTTTTGTTTGCTCGTTGGTATTTTTGGGGCAATAATTCAAACCAGTCAATGGCAGTACTAAGGAAATACAAATATATAATTGTAATTATATAAAAATTAAAAACATATTCAATAAAACTAGTCTTCAGAATAGTTTGAATCTGTGCTATCATTATCATCTGAGGGTAGAATTATCAGTTTTACATTGTGATTAACAATGATTAAGTGATTCTCTCCAACTGCACTCTGGTATTAATTTACAATGAGTTTCGATTACGCCAATTACGTTTCGGTTTATATTATTGTGTTTAACTTAATTTTTTTCTTCGGCCCAGATCATTACTATAAGACTCTTTCGACTTTCTTATGACCTCGTCTACGAAATAGGTGTTATCATACGATTTAGTTCTTAAAACGTCAACTAATTGCTTCTTTGTATGAGTATTTTCAAAATAAAGGTCATGCTGACCAAGAAACTCTTGCGATACCTCTCTTTTGCTGCTGAACATTGATCGAAGTGCTGTGATAACTAGCATTATCATTACTCTGCCTGGTGACATATTTGAATGAAGATAATTTTCAAAAAGTTCAGGTACTGCAGGTACATTCAAAATGAATGTACCTGCAGTCCAATGAAAAACTCGGCCACACTTTTCAAATTTGCCACTCTTTTGGAATTTGAGTGAAATATGTTTGTCTTGCCCTTTCTAGTGAATCGTTATTAAGGAATCGACGGAAGTTTCAATTTGGAATACTAGTTAACTCTACTCTCCTCCCAATGAAACCTTTAATACACTTTGACGTTTCTAGAAGACTTGCAGACAAATTCTGAATTAAAAAATATAAATTAGTAGTAGTAAATAACAACGAGTGTCTTGCGGCACATATTCAAATGACAGTTTAATTTTGATTCGTTACTCTCCTCCATTCCGTCGTCGAAATTTTTTTAAAACCCACGATCTGGACATAATAAGTAATCAATGTAATGTAATGGGAAGGTCCAAATGATTTGAAAATTTCCCAATTTTAATAAAATAAAAATACCTCGAATTATTTTCTCGAAAACTATCCACCCGATCGGTGTTTTAGTTACGGACAAAAATCTTTTCGGGAGCAAATTATTAGGCGTAATTCAAAATCAATAAAAATATGGCAATTTGGTTTACATCCTGTACCGAAAGGTACAATTTCTACTTTGCATCACATACCCTGTTCGAGATATTTGCTATTTTTTGAGTTCAATCTAGACGCGATGACGTCGTTGGTCATTACGGAGTGCTACTTAGTTTCAGAAAAAAGTTTTCAAAAACCATTTTCTCTATTTGAAAATTTCGTTGACCGCGAAACCTGGGATTCCAAGGCTACTTCGAAAATTGTTCGCTGTGTCGTTTTGTCTATCATACAAGCGAGATATTAGAAAAAAATATTTTGGAAATTGCTATTACTGATACAAATTTTTTTATTTACGAAAGTATGCCATGATTTGACGGGAGGACACTTTGCGAAAGTTCTATAGTGGTTATTGGTTCATTGAGGGTAAAGAGCCTTCCTCCCGGCAAGTCATGTGCACTAAAGAATAAGTTCTATAAACAAGAGATGATAAATATTTAAATTACGTATTAATGTGTGTCTTTTCGAATAACTTGTCTTTTAAAAATAGCTATGATATTATGTCGCTATTCTCGAACGATATACGACTTATTAGACTAATGTAAATAACCTCGTGGACTATTGCATGGCGAACAACTTGGACGTCACGAAATAATTATTGAATGAGCGGTATTTCGAAGGTCATCGATTTTCCCATTTCGCGAGTTTTATTTGCGGTCATGTGCATTTTCGCAATTCATTCGAATTATTGCTAAAACACAAACGCTTTACCCTATTTCTCGTTTTAAAACTACTCACGGTAGACGACTCCGTATAGGACACTTAAAAAAATTAATAATTATGTCACCTGCCAGGAATGAAGCAATCGAATTGCAAATTGAAAACGCAAACTACACTTCCTTTTGTTCGATCGATTTGGACATTAAGATTCGACACTGGCGACCTTGGCAGTCTACAGACGGATGTATAAATTTTGCATATCGCGAATATCATGGCAGCCTATATCTCTCGAATTTCAATAATCGGTTTGTCTAAATTCCAAATTCGAATTTATTGCGCGTAATAAGGAACGCATTCCTTTTTTCAAAATTATGTCCGGAAAAACTAACACTTAAGACACCACCGCGGCAGTAAAAAATTGACTATATACTTCCGAGGTATAGTCCAGCACACGATAAACGGTCATGATTTACCTGGCCCACCATAAATGAAAAGCTGTTTATCCTCAATAAATCAATTGCGCTTTGTCAGTAGTCATGTTAGAGTCATTATTTGTTATGCTAAGACCGTGGGTTGAAGAAAATTATAAAATTTATGTCATACTTACATTTGTATTTTTATTATCGAACAATTGCACATAGTTTTTTTTCAAAGAAACTTCCACAGACTACTGTAATACTTTTTACAAAACTTCTGGATTCCTCCTGCGTCGGTTTTCTGCTGAGTCGAACTTGCTGACGTTTCGCCAATCATCTTGTTGGCTTCTTCAGAGCATAACTGAAACTGGCTCGTATTTTATTCTGTACCTGCTTATATATTGTTTGAGGGGGGCGGAGCTAAATGAGGAACTTAAACGCCGTGTCGGATACTGATTCCCATATTGGTGACAGACCTGAGTCGCGGTTGACTTTCGGATTTTTCGTTGGTAGAAGAATTGATTACATGCAAGAATAAAATTTTATCTGCAGTTTCATGATTGTGTTCGGCAACAGCTGATGAGTTTATATTAGGTGTTTTTTTTCGATGTATAGAACTTTAAGTTGGCATTATTGTTCAAAATGGCGACCGATTTAACCTCTGTCAAGTGATTTATTCTCAGTTTGGTTTGGCAATTCATCATGAATTCATCAAGTAAGGCGTAGATTCGTTGAACGGGCCGAAAACGAGATTTCCGTTGTTCAAGATTTTCATAAGCAAATTTTGTTTAGCGATGAAACGCACTTCCGGTTGAATGGCTACGTCAACAAACATAACTGCCGCATTTGGAGCGAAGCTAATCCTCAAGTGTATGTCGAAACACCGTTACATCCAGAAAAACTGACTGTTTGGTGCGCTTTATGTTCTGGTGGAATCATTGGTGGAATCATTGGTCAATCAAAAACGATGATGGCCAGAACGTTAGAGTCAATGGTGATAGGTATAGAGCTATGATTACCAACTCTTTCATTAATGAATTGAATAACCAGCCATAATAAACAGCTTGTGCCACAATCGATTTTTTGAAAGGCACGTTTGGTGACCGCCTAATTTCACGTTTTGGACCTGTGAATTGGCCTCCAAGATCTTGTGATTTAACACCGCTAGACTACTTTCTGTCTGGCTATGTAAAGTCATTGGTCTATGCGGATAAGCCACAAACGCTTGACCATTTGGAAGACAATATTGGCCGTGTTATTCCGATATACGACCACAAATGTTGGAAAAAGTCATCGAAAATTGAACGTCCAGATTGGACTACATCCGCGCCAGCTGTGGCGGTCATATGCCAGAAATCATCTTTAAAATGTAATGCCACAAGATTATCTTTCGGATAAATAAAATTCATGTCAATAGAATAATCCATGGTTGTTTTATTGCAACTTAAATTTCTATACATCGAAAAAAAAAACGTCCCTTATAAGCATTTATATGAGCATATATAAGCAGGTACAAAGTAAAATGCGAGCCAGTTTCAATCAAGCTCTGAAGAAGCCAACAGGCTGATTGGCGAAACGTCAGGAAGTTCGACTTAGCAAAAACGGACACAGTAGGAATCCAGACGTATTGTAAAGAGTAATTGAACATACTGTTACATTGCATATAAAAAATCCACTAATAATTTATATTTTTTAATGCAACATTTGCCTATAGGTCTTCTAAAAATATCAGACAGCGTACTAGAAAGGAAAGATGATAGTATTTAGGAACAGTGATCCAGAGTAGATTCGCGTAAGCATAGTTGCATTGAAGATACCCAACAGTATATATTTGACCGGTGTGAAGTTAGCAGCTAAAAGTTGGCAGCCAAAATTACGATCAATCAGTGGCGAATGAGATTTCTAAAGTAGTTTGGGAAGCAACTGATTTAAATTAAACAGTTCTCTCGCTTTCGCTTTCAGTTTCGGTTGCAGTCACCTACAAGGTTTGCTATATGGTGAAACTAAAAAGTTATAAATATATATTTTCATTTCTGAGATGAAAACGTGCCCACGAAGGTTGGATTTCGTTTCCAGTAAAAATATTCTCTTGCACTCCCGTACGGGAAGAAAAAAATATTTTAAACTTTTTTGTTTCACCCTAGAGCAACTCCCGTGCGGGAGTGCAAGAAAATATTTTTACTGGAAACGAAAGCTAACCTTTGTGGACACATTTTCATCAAGAAATGAAACTATGTAAATTTCGATTAAAGTAGAAAAAAAATATTTCAAACTTTTTTGTTTCACTCTATAGCAACTCCCGTACGGGAGTGCAAGAGAGTACTTTTTACTGGAAACGAAAGCCAACCTTTGTAGGTACATTTTATCAAGAAATGAAAGTGTGTAAATTTGGATCAAAGTAGAAAAAAATATATTTAAAACTTTTTTGTTTCACCCTAGAGCAACTCCCGTACGGGAGTGCAAGAGAATATTTTTACTGGAAACAAAAGCTAACCTTTGTGGACATATTTTCATCAGGAAATTAAACTGTGTAAATTTCGAGTAAATTAGAAGAAAAATATTTAAAACTTTTTTGTTTTACCTTATAGCAACTCCCGTACAGGAGTGCAAGAGAATATTTTTACTGGGAACAAAAGCCAACCTTTGTGGGCACATTTCCATCAAGAAATGAAAGTGTGTACATTTGATTTAAGTAGAAAAAAAATATTTAAAACTTTTTTGTTTCACCCTATAGCAACTCTCGTACGGGAGTGCAAGAGAGTATTTTTTACTGGAAACGAAAGCCAACCTTTGTAGGTACATTTTATCAAGAAATGAAAGTGTGTAAATTTGGATCAAAGTAGAAAAAAATATATTTAAAACTTTTTTGTTTCACCCTATAGCAACTCCCGTACGGGAGTGCAAGAGAATATTTTTACTGGAAACAAAAGCTAACCTTTGTGGACATATTTTCATCAGGAAATTAAACTGTGTAAATTTCGAGTAAATTAGAAGAAAAATATTTAAAACTTTTTTGTTTTACCTTATAGCAACTCCCGTACAGGAGTGCAAGAGAATATTTTTACTGGGAACAAAAGCCAACCTTTGTGGGCACATTTCCATCAAGAAATGAAATTGTGTACATTTGATTTAAGTAGAAAAAAAATATTTAAAACTTTTTTGTTTCACCCTATAGCAACTCCCCCGTACGGGAGTGCAAGAGAATATTTTTACTGGAAACGAAAGCTAACCTTTGTGGACATATTTTCATCAAGAAATGAACGTGTGTAAATTTCGATTAAAGTAGAAAAAAAAAGCCATACAACATCTGAAGACAAATAAGTCATAAGTGGGTAGATCACATAAATGCCGAAATACTAAGGACACTGGAGGAACCGGGGATATACATACTATTGGACATTTGCAACAAGATCTGCCACACGAAGACATGGCCAACAGACTGGATTAAGTCCATATTTATCCCTTTACATCAGAAAGATTCTAACCAAAAATTATGAAAACTATAGCACGCAAGCAAAATTCTAAGAATAATTTACCGCCGCTTACAGCGTTACCTAGACTCACAAATACCACCGGAGCAAGCCGGCTTTGTGAAAGGAAGAGGAACACGAGACCAAATTTTCAATATTAGAAAACTAATAGAAAAATCAAGAGAATTTAATTCCCCTGTGCTACTCTGCTTTATTGACTATAAAAAAGCATTCGATTTCGTAAAATGGAAATGCTTGCGGCAAATACTAACAGAAATGGGAGTAGCGAACTACTTGATAAGTCTAATTAAGGACCTATATGAATCAAATGAAGCCATAGTGAGAATAGATAACCACTCTACACAGACTTTCAATATACAAAAGGGAGTGCGACAAGGATGCATATTATCCTCCAGGTTTTTTAACGCCTACAGCGAACACATAATCAGAAACGCCCTAGACGATTTCGAGGGAGGAGTGTCAATAGGTGGTAAAAAACTGACAAACCTGCGATATGCAGACGATACAATGCTGCTGGCGAGAGATGAGACCGAAATGAGGATGATATTGAACAGAGTGGAAAGTGAAAGTGCTAGGATGGGTCTGGAAATAAATCTCAAGCAAGACTAAGGTCATGGTGATAGACAGAGCGGGAATCCTTCTACGTCCGAACATCAGAAACATAGAAAATGTAGATCAATTTGTGTACCTGTTATCCCTAATAAGTAACCAGGGCGGGTCCGAAAAGAACATAAAAAGACGAAAATCAATAGCACGAGGAGTCATGAGCAACCTCACCAGAATATGGAAAGATCGACACATCATAAGAAACACGAAAATCATGCTGGTCCAATCCCTTGTATTCTCAATCTTTCTGTACAGAGCGGAACCCTGGACTATGAAAACACCAGACATACGCCTGTGAGATGTGGTATTGGCGACGTATGCTACGGATTTCATGGACCGAGAAACGTACCAATGAATCTATGCTAAGGGAGCTGAAGATCAAAGGCAGACTGTCCACAGTATGTCACCGGCGAATCTTAAAATACTTTGGACACACCACAAGACGAGATGGCGACAACCTGGAGAAACTGATAGTACAGGGAAAGGTGGACGGAAAACTACCAAGAGGCAGGTCACCTGTTAGATGGACAAACCAAGTAAAGAAAATCACGGATATGCCGCTGCAAGACTTACGAACGGTAGACAATTTCTCAGACATGAGAATACGACTAAGAATGAGAAAAAAAATATTTAAAACTTTTTGTTTCACCCGTACGGGAGTGCCAGAGAACATTTTTACTGGAAACAAAAGCTAACCTTTGTGGACATATCCCAGAAATGAAAGGGCGTAAATTTGGATTAAATTAGAAACAATATATATTTAGAACTTTTTAGTTTTACTCTATAGCAACCCTCGTACGGGGCTGCAACCGAATATTTTCTCTGGAAACTAAAGTGAGAGATCTATTTAATTAAAATCAGTTGCTTCCTAGACTGGTTTAGAAATCTCCGCCGCCACTGGTTGTTCGGCTCTTTCCGTAATTTTGGCTACTAACTTACAGCTGCTAACTTCACACCGGTATATATTTGCACATGCTAGTGATAATAAGGAACCAGTAGCCGTTCTTGATATTTGTTCATAAATCTGACCGTTGCATGAAAATATGTTCCAGACAAGCATCTTAGTAAAAAGGGACTTTATATCGAAATTAACTATGATATCTTTTGGAGACAAAAGTATCAACTGAAATTTATCTTCTAGAAGAGAATTGGTTCACGTCCAGTATAAACTGTAAAGAAAGGTTGGCAACATTTTTCGTTGAATCGCATCTAGAGGAAAAAATATCCAATGGTTGGGTGGCAAACGCGTTTCTACATTCAGCAGAAAACATCACTACAAAAACATCATTAGACTACCATCAGGACTTGACAAGTGAACCTTTAGAATATTCAAGAAATTTTCTATTCTTTCAAATATCCCACCAGATATCGTAGTAATTAGTCGAATAGCTACAGGGCTTTAACAGCACTTTGGAAAAGTACCAACGATCAGCAGCAAAATGGAGGTACTACCACAGTTCTTTGTCAGCTTGTCCTTTATTTTGCAGATACTCATGCAAAAAAATAACTATTTGAAGTTTTAAATACCAGATCGCGTGATAAAGGATATGGTAAAAAATCCCACCTTATCCTTATAAAAACAAAGTTTGACGCAATAATATAAACCCAAAAATGTAATCCCATGTAACTGGTCTAATTAAAACTCGGGGTGAATTAATACCAGAAAGCAGAGAATGTACACAATATTTGCAAAAACACTTGGCACAACGTGAAACCATTAATTATATCCTTGGATGATAGTGCTAGCATAGATTCAAACTATTCTGAGAAAATTTACTTAATGTGTATTTATTTCTTATATAATTCCAATTACGCAATACATTAGAAAGTATATTTTGTTTCCATTTCCTTACAATTTTCCGAATACCATCCTGGACCGGTTTGATTTATTGGCCCAAAAATACCTACGAACAAATAAAAACTTTTTTTTTTCAAAGAAACTTCCACAGTCTACTGTAATACTGGAATCCGAACTTGCTGACATTTCTCGAATCACCCTGTTGACTTCTTCAGAACTTAACTGAATCTGGCTCGCGTACTACTCCCTACTTGCTTATAAGAGGTGTTTTTTTTTCAATGTATAGAACTTTAAGTTGCAATAAAACAACGATGGATTATTCTATTGACATGAATTTTATTTATCCGAAAGATAATCTTGTGGCATTACATTTTAAATATGATTTCTGGCATACGACCGCCACGGCTGGCGCGGATGTAGTCCAATCTGGACTTCCAGTTTTCGATAACTTTTTGCAACATTTGTGACCGTATATCGGCAATAACACGGCGAATGTTGTCTTCCAAATGGTCAAGAGTTTGTGGCTTATCTGCATAGACCAATGACTTTACATAGCCCCACAGAAAATAGTCTAGCGGTGTTAAATCACAAGATCTTGGAGGCCAATTCACAGGTCCAAAACGTGAAATTAGGCGGTAACCAATCGTGTCTTTCAATAAATCGATTGTGGCACGAGCTGTGTGACATGTTGCGCCGTCTTGTTGAAACCACATCTCCTGGACATCATGGTTATTCAATTCAGGAATGAAAGAGTTAGTAATCATAGCTCTATACCGATCACCATTGACTGTAACGTTCTGGCCATCATTGTTTTTGAAGAAGTATGGACCAATGATTCCACCAGCCCATAAAGCGCACCAAACAGTGTTTCGACATACACTTGAGGATTAGCTTCGCTCCAAATGCGGCAGTTTTGTTTGTTGACGTAGCCATTCAGCCAGAAGTGCGCTTCATCGCTCTCGTTTTGGGCCCATTCGACGAATCTAGGCTTGACTTGACGATCGTTTGGCTTCAATTCTTGCACGAGTTGGATTTTTTAAGCACGTTAACCAAGATCCTTCCGCAAAATCTTCCATAAAGTGGATGGACACATATTCAATTCCTGTGCTCAATGACAGATGGACTCATTTCCTCAATACTACGCTCTACAGCAGCAATAGCTTCTTCTGTACGCACGGTACGGCGTCTCTGGGGATGCGAGTTATCAATAAGAGTAAACGTGGTGCGAAAACTTTCCATGGTTAATCGAATTAACTGCTCTGATGGACGATTTTGTCGACGATAAAATGGGCGTAGTGCGCGATACGTATTCCGCACAGAACCATTATTTTCGAAATAAAATTGCACTATTTGCAAGCGTTGTTCAGGCGTGAGTCTATTCATGATGAATTGCCAAACCAAACTGAGAATAAATCAAATAACAGCTAATGCCAACTTAAAATTCTATACATCGAAAAAAAAACACCCATTATATTATTTGAGGGGTTGGACCAACAGGAGGAATATGAACATGAAGTTTCCGGATGACTGATTTCCATATTGACGAGAGAACTGAGTCTCGGTTAACATTGTTATTTGGTTACTTAGAGAGATACAGATTATCGAATTTTTCGTTGATAGAAGAATTGATTGCATGCAATAATTTTAATTTTGTCGAATAGAATTTTATGTCCAGTTTCGTGATTGTGTTAGGCAACTGCTAATGAATTTATTTGTTGTAGTCTTAGGGTTCTTTTACGTTTTTTAAGCCCAGTTGATATTTTTCTACCGATCTTTTCAATGTATCCGCATATGCATGGAATGCTATAAACTCCTATAAACGGATTTTTTTCTTTGACGGTTCGAAGATGTTGAGAGATTTTTGGATAAGTGGTAAATCTGGTTCTGGCGTTATATTGCTTAACAACTTTTATTATTTGACCATTATAAGAAGAATATTTTCCAGATCAGCACTTTTCAATTAAGATGCGAAGGTTTGGTTCCCGATTCTCGGATTTTAATAATGTCCAGAGTTTCAAAAATGGGGACTTTATTAAAGAGGGATTCTATGTTGAAACGAACCAGAATATCCTGTAGATCTATTGTAATAGTTTTTAATTTTTCAAGGAAATGGAATTATAATAGCTATACCGTACTATTAAAAATAAGAATAATGTGGCATATTGTTTATTATTCTCCCATGAGATTTATGTAGTTGAATAATTGGAACATACGACGAGTCTCGGACAATTGTCGATATTAGCTGTTAAATACCTTTTTTTAATTGTTTTAGTATTTACCAGACAACACGCGAGCGCCATTTTGGAAGGGTGATGTTTGTTCGCGGCAGGCCCTGCCGGACGTAGATTTGCTGACAAACGACTTCAAAATTATATGGACACCTCCTCTAAACCATCTCGGCGCAACCGAAAGGAGGTTCGTTTTAACGGCCGTCGGGTCAGGTATGAAATTTATTTATATTTTCATTGACCTAGTCTCTGCAATTATCAAATGAACTTTTCGAATTATGGTGAATAGTCCTATACCTAATCTCTTAATGCGCGGAAGTATTAAAATGACAGCATGAGCAAGATACATTTATTTATTACATATACGAGGTATTTCCAAAAAGTTGACTCTTGTAATTGGACGTGCTATATAGATTCGATCTTCGATATTTCTTTTTGTTATGTTGGTTCACATGTCACTAACATATGTTCACAGTTTCAGCTAGTTTGTAAGTTGACTTTTGTGTGTGTGCTTTTTGTGCTCGGGGATTTTCTGCTGTAAAAAAGAAATTGCATAAAATTTTGTGTAAAAAATGGGATATAGTGCGGCAAAACACTTGAACTGTTGACAACGGCATATGGTGAAACTACTTTGCGCAAAAAAAATGTTTATAAATGATGAAAAACCTCGATCTAGACGACCCAGCAAGCTTGTAACTGATGAAAGCGTTGAAGAAGTGAAACAACTGGTGTTGAAAATTCGTCGAATGACTCTTACAGAAGTTGCTGAAGGCGTCAGCCATGCAATTTTTGCCGAAGTTTTGGGCATGAAACGCATAGCATCAAAATTTGTTCCGAAACTGCTTAATTTTAAATAAAAGGACCGTCGAAGGAGCATCGCATTAATGATGATTCTGATATGCTCAAAAAGTTCATAACTGGTGACAAAGCTATGAGGTCGAAGCCAAAGCCCAGCCGTTCCAGTGGAAGAACCTAGAATCGCCAAGACCGAAAAAAGCACGTAAAGTTCGATCAAATGTCAAGTTTTTGCTTACTGTTTTCGTTGATTATCGTGGCGTAGTACATCAAGAGTTTTTACCACAAGGTCGTACGGTCAACAAAGAGTGTTACTTTAAAGTTATGGGCCGTTTGAGAGAAGCAATGCGAAGAAAATGTTCTGCATTGTGGAAAAATAATTCATGCATTTTACATCACGATAATACACCTGTTCACTCATCGTTGCTTGTGCCTAATTCTTCCACCATATGGTCTCTTGCGACTTTTTCCTATTCCCAAAACTCAAGAAACCCATGAAATGAAGAAGGTTTGGAACCATTGCAGATATAAAAAAAATCGCTGGAAAAGCTCAAGGTTATACCAGAAAATGCGAACCAGAAGTGTTTCGATGATTGGAAAAACATTGGCCTAGTGTATTATATCTGGAGGCATTACTTTGGGGGACAACATTATTTTTACTAAATGAATAAACATTTTTTGATAAAACTTAATAGTCACCTTACTTTTTGAACACACCTCGTACATATGTATCTTGAGTTTGAGTATTGTTAATATAAACTTCCCTATTGCTTTTCATATCGATCTCGGTACAGTATTTTTTTAAAGAAATCTGTTTATTTTTGAAGTTTGGATACAAGTTCATAAATTCTCTTAGACATAACTAAAAATAAATTTTCATTCCTTAATTATATAGGAACAATATTTAAATATCAATTTAAAAAGAGTTAAACTAAATTTCCCTTCACACTTCACAACACTTAGCTTACAATATCAAATTTTAGATTAGTTTGAATCTTCTTTAGTTCTTTAATGAATAACTGAAAAAATAAATATAACACTTTTACTATGAAACTAAGTCAATAAAATGATTCTTAATTTAAAAAATCCTTAAAATACACTTTCATAAGAAATAGAATAAAAGTGGTAACAGTAAACATGTGCTGATATAAACCAACCACACTTAAAAATATTTATCTTAGTAAAATGGCCGCTGTTTTCTCTTATCGAGTTGTTACTTGATATGCAAAATGTTGAATAATGATTAGCTTTGATTTATACTAGATAGGACCTAGGCTTAAATAGTTAAAATTTTTATTATAATGCCCTCTTGTCCTAATGCAAAATCGACGCGGATGACAGCGACCATTACAAATGGTGAACAATTCAAAAGTTATATCGTGAAGTTTATATATATTGTAGATTAGATATTGTCAAAGATTGTCGTACTATTGATTTACTTAATACTAATTTCCGTGACTTGGATTATCTTACCAGAAACATCAGCGTTGTTATTTGTGAAGGTGGGTCAACCACAGAGTAAAGTTCATTATCTCATTGGTAAATTCAAAGAAAAAGTAAATAACATTAAGTACCTATTGCTACAAATTTACTTATCTTATTTATAATAATTATTATGGTCCAACAAATGTTCAAAAATATCCCCTTCTACTAGGATATTTAGTCTTTTTCGTATATATTCTTGCACGTTCTTTAGCATAAACTGCACGCGTCCCGAATGCTGTTTTCCATATCTGGAGGATTCACATAAACACGATCTTTAACATACAGCGGCAAAAAAAATGTAGTGGTGTTAAGTCATATGATCGACGGGGGCATCCAATGTATCCAACTTAACCCCCTTCTCTAAATATTGATTATTTAAAAATTCTCAAACTTTTCGATGGTAATGCGGAGGAACTCCATCTTGCCAAAGGTCACACCACGCATTAAGTGACTAACGATTTGGTTCTGCACCTCCCGTTCATAGAATGGATCAACTGACGATTAACTGCACCATTCCTGCGAGAAGTAGTTTCATCTAAAAACATCATTTTACACAAAAATTTGAATCGGCCTCTATTGCTTCATTTATAACGGTGCAGAAGTTTACCCTTTGTTCAACATCACGGTCTAGAAGTTCTTGATGTATTTCCATGTGGAAGGGATGATATTTGTGTTTTTTAGTGGTGCGATTAACAGTAACTACCTGACGGCTACTGACCTGAGAATTATCTTGAACTTGAAGTACAATGAAAATTCTCAATTCGTTTTCAATCGGCCTCTATTGCTTCATTTATAACGGTGCAGAAGTTTACCCTTTGTTCAACATCACGGTCTAGAAGTTCTTGATGTATTTCCATGTGGAAGGGATGATATTTGTGTTTTTTAGTGGTGCGATTAACAGTAACTACCTGACGGCTACTGACCTGAGAATTATCTTGAACTTGAAGTACAATGAAAATTCTCAATTCGTTTTCGCTATTGGTCGTATTCCGGATTACCACTTTCGGTTTTTCATATTCAACACTACCACTAGCATTAATCCCTTCCATTACACACTGAAGAGGTTGTCTCTCTAGTTGGTATACGTCTACTAAAGTACATCGCCTTGTAAAATCTTAGTGGCAACAAAGTATTTTTTCTACTCCCGTCTGTAAAATACCTAATTACCCACCGATCTAGCGTGCGGGAAGCGTCACTTTACCACTTCAGTTTCGTTTCCCATGAATCCGAGCCCCTTCGGACATTTCCGGGATTTTACCTCACGGATGTAGGAGCAATCGAATGTTTTCGAGGATATTTCCCACGCTTTAAATTTTGACGTTTGTCAATTATGACGGTCATGTCAGTGAATGTATTCGTGTTGTTTTGCGAAAATGTACCCAAAAACTAAAGGTCGTAGAAAAAGTATAGTATGCAACACGTTCGCTAAACTTTTCAATTCACTCGTTTATTAAAAACTCGCTCCGCTCGTGTCAAATAAACTCGTGAGTCAAGTGCCGTTTACCGCATTTGTTGCATGATATACTAAATCCGCATCCTCGTTATGTAAATCATTTAATGAATTTATTTACGCAGTTGTCAGGTAAAAATTTGACAATGTTATTTTTTCATGACTAACTAATCTTATACCCATGATTTTAGACAGAAAGAAGGGTAAACATTGAACAAATTAAAATAAATAGCAAAGTAATAAAACTAAATATATGACCTATTTAATAAATGTTGTAGGTTCATGCAAGGTCTTTCTGATAATAATATTAATAGTGTATTTTTCAATTTAAAATTATTAAAATATATTCGTTTATTTGGAACACGCTATACCGTCTAATCGTGTAATCCAAATTTCGTTGCATATGTTCTTTGCATCATCTTGGAATAACGTCAATATGAAATATAAAATACATATAATATAAAAATAATGGTGAAATCCCAATTTTTGCGCAATTGTGAAAAATTATATTTTTTTAGACAAATTAAAATATTTGATAAACTTTTATTGTTAGGTAAGTATTATAATATTTTATTAAAAAGGTTGAAGATTTTTAAAATGAATTAACAACTAAATTTAAAAATAAATTTAAAACTTAAAAAAATATATATTTTAATCATCACGTTTTTTTGAACACTTTAGTTTATTTATTTTCAAATAATTTAAAAATTGACATCTCGACAATTCTTAAAACTGTTTTTTGTATTTACAATTTTGTTATAACTTTTGAAACCAATGATATAATGAACTTTAGACTATCGCTGACGCACCCTGTATTAATCATAATTATTTTCAAAAACAGTAGTCAACTAAAGAATCATTCCAACTTTCGTTGTTTGAATAATAGTGTTGTTTTTTTGTACTCAACCCCTTATATACGAAAATTGAAAGATTGCTGATAAAGTCACGTATTATCAATGATGCGACAATACATTTCTGAACAAAAAAGCAGCAGCATTGGCAGCCAATTCACAAATTACCCATCTAAAATGAATGTCTCCTCTCTTCTATTTCTTTAAAAGCACTATTTATGGCACTTGCAGTGACCAGCTTGTAGTGTTTTTAAAAGTTTTCGCGGTTTCTATGAAACCTTGCTTGGTATACTTCTTCCAAACCGATTTCTTTTCTTTTTAGAGAAGTCTCGCAGTGGCCGTTCAAAGTTGGTCCCAAATTGAGGAAATTTGAATCCTGTGGAAAACGGCTTTTTTAAATTTACGGTTATTAGTAAGCTTCCCGGCTTTCACGCTACTTAGACACACCAAATTCATAATATATTTATGTTTCTTACAATTTTCTTATGTTCTTTGATGTACCACTCACTCTTTCTCTTGATTCAACATCCTATTTTTGTTTTGTCGCCTCTTAACACATTTTTCTGTATTCAGGGATTACCTCCATACATCCGTAATTATTATTCGCTTGTTTTGTGTAAGCGGTGTAGTAGGAAATCAAATATTTTTGCGCAATATGTCACGAATCCGTGTAGAATCATTATCATTATATATGCTAAACTATCCGCCATGGTGATAAACCGGTATTTCCTCACAATTAATTATATTTAAAAGATTTGTTTACTGAGAAACGAAATGACAGCGTCGTTCTTCTAGGAGTCTAGACCTTGGGGACTGGTTTGATGAAATAACAAACGTTTATCCAGCTATTACACACCTTATTAGCAGCATTACAGAGATATTAACAAAATAATCCGTCTTTTCCCTTTAGCGTCGAGAATTTATTATCTGGTTTGATCAGACGTGATCGTGACCATGTTTCACTTTATTTGTAAATTTTAGAAATCGAAACTAGAACGCATTCTATAGTGATAGACAAAATTTCATCATTTTTGAGGAGCGTTAAAGCCCTTAAATAAATTAAAGAACTTGGGCCGCGTGAAAACGGGGCGTGGTTTGACGATGACGTCATGCCCTTCAATCTGTTGGGCGACAACGTCGTAGAACCAATGAAATTTGGCAAACATGTACTATGTATCAAGAGGCAATATTCAGTGTACCACATTTTTTTTTTTAATACGGTGGAGGGCCAACTGAATTTCACCTGTCTATTTTGGCAGACATTGATAGTACGCCACTGATATCTCTTAAAATAAAAATTATTCATAAAATCTTGAATCATGTCTAAAGAATTTTAATTTCATCGCTTAAAAAAATTAAAATCTCTGGATGGTTGTTACAAAATTGTTAATATGAGAGCTAGCAGAAATTAGTTTATATTTTTAGTGAAAACCTTGCGATGAACTAACAAAAAATTAAAAGATCAAATCTGCTTATAAATGAATGCAAATGCAATTATTTTTTTAACAAATCAGTGGCGTACCACTGACTGTGAAATAATATTTTGGCTAATTAGATACTGGTCAAATCGAGAACTTTTTATATGAAATATACAAAATATTTATCTAAAACAAAATATTTAGGTTTTAGTTACCAACTAAGGTCATTTAGAAAAAAAAAGGAAAACTGTTCTTATTACTTTTACAGTTTTAATAAAATAAAAAAACGTTCTAACAACAAAATAAATAATAAACGATTCTTATTTTTTTAAAAAACACTACCGACTATTAACAATTTTTAATAAAATTGTCTGTTAATAAACTAAATACAACCTTTGTGCAAAAAAAGTTGAATATAGAAACTAGATAGGTTGTTGAAAGTGCACTCTTTGAAGTATACCGGCGAGAATTATGGCCATTTAGCCTCTTGGGCAGGAAAAAGGGTCCAATTAAGTAATGTCCAGTCCAAACATTTACCGTAAACTATTCTGATGTTTAAATTCGACAACTGCATGGGGATTTTCATCGGCCCAAATACGGTAATTGTGGAAATTTCTGTAAAAGTTAGCTTCATCCGTAAATAGTATTTCTTGGTCAAACAAGAGATAGTGTGCAATTTTGTCCAAAAACCATTGACAAAAATTATCCCGCAACGGAAAATCGGGAAGTCTCACTTGGACTCGTTGAGTATGATATGCAATCGTGCAAAATTTTTCAAACCAAGATGGGCGAGATATTCAGATTATTTCCAATTTTTCTAGAACTAAGTTCAGGATTTTCATCAATAGAATTTGAAATTGTTTCTTCAATATCGGAATTCTTACTGGCCGATGGGCCGCTAATGTTATTTGATTATTTGCCTTCAAAGTACCTGTTTCAGTGTACCTTCTATGCACATTTCAAAATATTCGCCTATCTGGAGTGACTCTCTTAGGAAAGCGCTCTTGATATAATCGTCTAGCTTCCGGCGCGTTGCCATCGGCCAAACCATACATAAAATGGCAAACTTGTAGAAACCAATATTTTGCGTCTTAGTAAAATGACGTCTTTGAGCGTCGTCTCAGCATACAGACCAAAGAAGTTTTTATTCTTTAAAACGGTTAAGATCCTAAATAATTAATTATTATTGTGCAATCCTGCCTTTCGTAAAAATTATTATAACATAAAAATGATGAAATGGCCGCATATATAGTTGCCGATTTTGATTAGTCTTAGCTAATTCTCATGTTCTGCACCAACAAGACTATTTCCACTCCTTCAGTTTGATTGTTTAATGAAAAACATACATAAAACATAAAACGTTGATTTTTATTTTCAGGTCCTGTTTGCAAAGATCCATTCCAACACACATGCATGCGCATCGGGCGTATCCCAATGCTCTGCATATCGGACCATCTGCTCTGCGACGGGTACCAGAATTGTCCCAAAAGTTCCACAAGCAGCGACGAAGATACAAAACTCTGCAAGACTGGCAGGAATGCATGGCAAAACTTTGTCGCGGAACTGGTAAAGAGATACCGCCCGCCGACTGAAGACGCTAAATGGACCAGCCTCAAAATCAACTCTACAGATTCGGCGACAAAGTGGCTGGAATGGCAACTTCTGAAAAAAAACTGTGAGTGTTTTCAAAACTTCTTGCGCCCTTACAATCTCTTAAAGTACACACTGTATGTAAAAAACATCACATGTTGATACTAAGCATTATGTATAAAAGGAACAGTTTTCATGGATTATCCAAAAGTGTGTCCCAATTAACATGAAGATACCTCTATCTTTTGGCTGTCTAAATAAATACAGATTGAAATCATACAAGTTGGTGGTTCGCACTTTTAAAGATACTCAACTGTTACTGGGCCATGGAAAGAAAAATCTCTAAAATATGGTCAATTTTATAGTTCTTCAGTAACAGAAATAACAGAAAGACAAAGGAATAATTATTTCATTTTAGTAGGTACCTGATTAAGCTTGAGAAAATAATTGTATCATGTGTATTTGTATATGTATATGTATTTATATCATCTCGCTCAGCTAGTCCTCCACTTACTCCAATACATTTGTCAATTCCTTTAATATTCTGGCACAAAGTTCAATCATTGGCCGGGTCTTATAAACTTTATTTTTTATCACTCCCCAAAAATAAAAATCGAGTTGTATAATATCAGGGTACTTTAGAGAACAGGATTCAATCTAGCGAAATTTTTGATTTAACTATTGACGAACATTCCTTGAATTGTGAATGGATGGCACGATCTAGCTGGAAATACGTATCCTGTGACACTGAGAGAAACATTTTCTATAGCAGTGCATAATTTCCCATCGAAAAGGTTAACTAAGCAACCAGCATTTAATAATGCATTAAAGAAAAAAAGGACTATTATTAGTTCTCCCAAAATCCAGCAACACAATTTATAACCTACTTTTGAAATGATATTATCCCGTTGCTGATGAATGTAGCCTCATCGGTAAACATAATCTTCTTCACTAAATGCCAACAATAACAACAATCTAATCATCTATTCTCATCACCTTCTTTTAATGAATATAAGAACTTTTAATTTTTATCCTTATTATTATTCGGCTAAGATTGTAAATCTCAAAGGTTCACATGACCTAAGTCACCAAGCAATCAGATTATTACGATTTTTTGGTTTACGGACAACGGTATTTTAATTCTTTGATCAATAAGGTTTAATCTGACTGACATAAATGATTTCACAAGTTTCAAATCACTACTTTCCATGACACACCAGTTTATCGAATAAAAAAACAAATGTATAAGAAGTTTGTATAGGTTTTGGACAAAATAATGAAAAACTAAAAATGCGAATTATGTCATGAATTAGTATTCGGAACAACTTTTTCAAATTACGTTTTCCGATATGTCTAACGCAGCAAAGCAAAATATCGAAAATCGACCCTGTTTGCGGATTCGCATGACATTTAAATTTGATTTGAGTGACTTATAAATGGTAACCATCAACTTGTATGACTGTGCAATACTTTAAATCTGTATTTAAATGCGACACACTGTGCAGATTTATTAATACATATTCTTTTGACCACAAAAAATGTATGTGCTTAATATTAACCAACACAACAAAATATATATTAGTTCTAGGGGGGGGGTAGATATTTTTCGCAATAGTTTGCAGCTAACGATTTGGTTTTAGTTATCGCGAAAAATGGGTGCAGAATTACAGTATTAAGCGGGACAATAAGGTTTGCTACAGTGTCAAGTTGACAAATTTTATCATCGTTACTTAAATGGTGATATGAAGAAAATTGAGTCCAGTGTTTCAAAAACTATAAAAAAAACTTCCATTCATTTTAAGTTTGTGGTGGCTATTATGGTATATTTAGAAAAAATCGGACCACCGGCGCCTGATAATATGATAAGTGATAATCATAATAAATTAAGCTTTAATCATTGATTTACAGTTAGCAACCTCTGTTTCTCTATCAACATTTTTTACTTTTGTTAATAACAATTTTATTAAACAATAAAGAAGTTTAAGGTTTTATAAGTTGTAATTACCGCTATAAAATTGGTTAAATCTTTACCTGAAAAATTCAAAGGATAAAATAAAATTAAAAAATCATTTTTGCGAAATTATAACAAATTCATGGATTCTCGTACTCATCTTTTTGATTTTCTAACCCAGTATAAGAAACACTGCTATTGTTATACAGGGTGCTTCAAAGCAAATGAGAAAAACTTAAGGGTGCGATTCTTGTTTAAAATAAATAAAACCAAAATAGATAGAACAATAACACATTATGGGAGCATTGCAATTTATAAAAACACACAGAAAGTCCAAAATTTTAAGTTTTAAACATTCTGTAATTGAAAATACCACAACGAGTGTTCAAATCATTTTTATTTAGGTGAAATAAGAACATCGTTATGCATATGTGTGGTAATTCCTGATAAATGAGGTTAATACCTTTATAAAAATAAAAAATACATATTTATTACAAATTTGATTTTTTGGTTTAATTTTAATAATAAACCCTAAAACAGCCCACATCCATTATCTGGGACTTGATAAGTTGACTTTGAAATAGCGCTGATTTATATAAAAAACACTTTGTACTTTATATAAAATTTAATTTTACTTCTATATTAACTTTTATTTAGCTTCTATATTCCATCCTTGGCTTTCAATTCGTATATCGTCTTTCTGGAAACGTTTTAAATACAGGGTATTTTATGAGTTGGGGTTTTCTTTTTAACAGGAGGCAGGACTTAACGAATCAAGCAAATTTCCTAAACAACGTGTTCTGGAACAATATGAAAAAGTAGATGAGACTAAAAAATATCAAATAAGTACCTCTGTGCAAATTGTACTTACGAAAAAAAAGCTGACATTTTTAACAAAAACTGTAGTCAATGTAAAGAAATTGTCACCTTTAGATTCGATAAGACAAACTGTCGCTCGGCACATCCCATTGAGAGTAACTAAAAAAAATTGTGATATTTTGATTGGGGATGTTTTACTGCAATATCCACATCCGAAACTGCGCTCTTTGGGGACCTGAATTCGGTGTACATCATACGGATATAGTTGATAATGCTCCACACTACGAGACGTTTCGATGTCCTTGTGGTTGGATTTTCAGCAAGAATACCTGAAACAGTTTCTTCGGCCTGAAGCATTCTCGTGGTCTGGATCTTGAAGCGTTTGGCCTGTGATGAAATCGCAGAGGAGAACGCTCGACTACAATCGTGATGCTACTGCATTTATGCAAGCAACACTCCCCGTATACTAACTGCATATCAGCCAATTCGTTATTATCGTAAACATGGGCCATTTTAAACCCGAACCCCAACTCAACTAATATGCATAGCCGGTATTGCGATTTTTCAAATTTTCTAGTAAGCAATACATTGTCGAAAGAAATTGATATAGAAGATAAGAAGAATAAGACATAGAAGTTTTGATTATTTTGGTAGAAGCTCATCCCGTCTTCTAGGAAGACTATAGAAAAATAAAAAGATAAATTTTTGACCAAAATGCGTAGAAGGACGATATGAATGATAAAAAAAAGAATTTGGTAAATACTTACGATTTATTGAGATTTGTTTAATATTTTATGAAATTTGACATCAGCTTGATCCAACTTCGGAGGATATCACTATATCCACCGCAAAATTTGCTCTTAAATTTATTGCTCGGTGCAACTCGTTATACAAAATTGCATTCTACATACCGCCTGGGTCTGTTCAAGCGGTAATCAAAAATCCTTTTGCTTATAGTCTTATAGTCAGATTATGTCCACTGAAGAGTCTAAGAAGATTCTTGTGTAGGGCACATGCTTCGTCAACGACAAAACAATAGAGGACTTCCTTATTCGTCATACCTGGAAGAAATTTTGTTTCGGGTAGTTCTTAGAACATTTGCGCATAAATAAATCAGTACTCGAAATCCATTAACACCACTCATTAGTACCATTTGTAATTATAATACAAAAATCCTGGGTTTACAATCCTGATATGCTTTTCATTAGGCAAGTAGGAAAATTTACACTTTTTTCGACAGTTGAAGCGATAGATTTTCATTTTTACTTTGTCGATACGGGTAGACATTCTAATCTCAGGACTTTCCAAACAGCTAAACTCACATCTCTGATAATATCACTTATTGTTGTGAGGTCCATAGTTATAGTGTAGGTCAGTGAAGGTATAGCCACTCCCACCTGAAGCAACAAATTCGTTTCGGGTAAAGATGAAGCGGAGAGGTGATTTAATATTGGCGAGTCGTTCATGAAATTAAAAAAAAATTGAGATTTTCTAAAATCTGGCGCTAGCTAGCGCACCACACTTAAAAAAGTATGTCAGCCATGGAAAATGTACCGAACGGACAGTCTTCCACGCAAGAAGCATTCATCTGAGCAAAATAAAGAATGACTCCCGTCAAAGTACTACGATATGCTAATCGTTGTAAAATAAAAAAAAAACACAAATTGATCATATTCCTAACCAACTAACCAAAATGTCCTGTGGATCTAATGTTTTTTTTTTAATTGTTCAATGAAATGGAAGGAAGGAAGTAAGTACAAAACTATCAGTTTTGGTTTAAATGGTTTTAACATATGCATATAGAAATATATGCAAATAGAAAGCAAAAATTGTGTTTTTTGAGTAAGTTTTCTTTCAGAATGAAAAGGTGATGTTTCTTTAGTATAAAATTCATTTTACATAGTAGGTATTACTGAATTAACGCAAAAATTGATGAAAATTAGTTCTATTTCTTGAATTTGTTTGATGGGAGTTGGATATCAAAGTGGTGTATTAAACTCGCTAAATTTGTTTGGCAACGAATAACCAATAACACCGAATGCTGTCCCAAACACCGTACGGGAATTTACAGACCGCTTAGAACATTGTCAAGTAAAAATAAGTACATTTTTTTCTTTGTTTTTAACTTTTTTTAAATGTTATTTAAGTTTTCCAATATTAATTATTAACATTGGTAGATATTTTCGTGCTTATCATTGGGGAAAAATTGGTTGAATTTGGGTATGTTACATGAAAAATACTTTTATGATAAATCTAAAAATGCAATAACAACATACCCTTTCCATTTAAAATTGGAAGGTTTGGTAGCTTAGAGAAAAACATAAATGTGGCAACATCGCTTATGTCGAAATTGGATTCAGCCTAATTCGAATCCCCTGTTTAGTAAATGTCATAAATTTAAGTACAATAATATGGCCGGTGCGCGACTTTTGACTAACCCTATATATGCTTTAAAAAAATCAGAGCAAAATAAACAAAATATCCAATGTGTCTCCTATAAGAAAAAATAAAGTTAATAATGTTGACCGAAAGACCGAATGTCGCATGGCTTCAACGTGCAACTGATAATAATTAGCGATAAAAATTTATCTTTGAACTTGTAAAATCTTGTAAAAAAGAAGAAACCGAAATATTCAATTTGATTACTTATGGAAAAACTAGGGCGATCGGAATTGATGAAAAACGAATTTTAATATGAAATTATATATATATATATATATATATATATATATATATATATATATATATATATATATATATATATATATATATATATATATATATATATATATATATATATATATATATATATATATATATATATATATATATATATATATATATATATATATATATATATATAATGTTCTGAGGAAATCATTTGTACAACAAACAATTTCTAAACATTTCTAAACATCGGCTCGATTTTTGGCAAATATTTAATGAAAAGACCTCCACCTACCAACCAAGATATAATTTTCGATTATTTTCAATATTTCGATAATTTTTTCATTCATGAGCACCTTGAATGCAGTGGTTCATATTTTTTCTAGAATTCTCCAATAACCCAAAAATGAGACCAGCTTTCTTATTTTATATCGCAATCATGGTTACTCTGTTCTTTGCAATAATGTATTGGTATCTATCATGAAAAATGGCGGATATATAAGGCATCTTTTGTATCTCGTTAGGTCTGCATATAGCTGCCAAAGCCAATTAAAGACATTACGAAAACGGTTCAACGCGGACATTTCTTTTAAAATAAAAAGAAAGTTACAACAATTTGGTACACTATATAACAGACTGTCATTTCCTTGTTGAAAAAAATTCTATAAGATTTCCCAATTATCTTTGAAATTTTCCGACAATTTATCAAAACTTTCCATAAATTACCCACAGTTGAATGAATTATTTTGTGTTGACGCAAGCGCTATTTTGTATTAGATTGCCAATTTAACTTTTATTTTTGTTCAAGGAAAAGCAAAATAGACTTGATGCGACATTTGACAATTTTCATGTATTGTTTAAAAAGTTTAAATTAAAATTTTCGATTAACAAAAATGTATTTTTTTAATCTTTTGGTATAGCATTTCTGTAACAAATCGAAGATAATACAGAAAATGGAAAAATTATTATTTTAAGTTAAAAAAAGAAAGCGTAATTTTTTTCAATGATAATCGTACTAAGGTCGATTACTATCTACCTTAAAACATAGATAAATCACTTACATTACCGAAGTATTTTGAATGAACCCATAGGATATGTCACAATTTCAGTGATTTAACAGAAAAACCTATTTCTGCACCAGATAGATCAAAAACAACTTACATGTTAAGGGCTCGATTGTTAAGAAACATTTACTGGCCAAAACCGCAGGGCGATCTTCACTACTAACCGAGATATAGGAACTTTTTTAAATATTAAAATTTTGGATTCGGATAAAAACATTATTAGGACATTTTTTAAGGCAGTGGAGTACTCAGATTTTTTACTGTTCTCCGTTTTCTCATAATTGAATACAAATGCCCGTGTCGAGTCCTTTTCAGCCATATTGATTTTGGTATCTGTGATGTTCATTCAGAAATTTAAAGTGTACCATAATTAGGAAAGGTGATAAACTGACTAACTAGACAAGCGAATATTTTGGACTTTTAAAAATAGTTTACTCAATTATGGAAATCTCTTAGGTTAAAATAACTTTAGTTTTGTTTTCTAAATAATCAAAAATATTAAAATAAAATATTAAAAATAATATCTCAAATTAAAATTAAAATATTAAAAGGTTCCTAGGCTTCGTGTTTTTCACTTAAGTTATTTCAAATTGGCATTAAATTATTTTTTTATCATATAATGTTACGAATATAAGGGGTCGTCACGAGCTTTTTTTAAGACCAATAGGAAAGTTGTATTCATTTATGAGAAAACGGAGAATTGTACGAAAAATCTGAGTACGCCACTACATTTGCCTTAGAAAATGCCATAATAATGATTTTATCCGAATCCAAAATTTTAATAACTAAACAAGTTACTGGCCGAAAATTGGTTGGTTAGTTTTGGTTAGTTTCGGTTGGTAGTCAAACTATCGCCATGCGATGTTAACCATTAAACAACCATTAAACGTTTCTCAAAAATCGAGACCTTGACATGTAATTCGATTTTGATCTACTTAGTCTCAAATTTTCTAAAATACCTTCGGATTCTCCTAAAATTGCTTATTGAAAGTAAGTAAGAAAGTAAGTAAGCGTTTGTAAAAGCAAGCCAATCACTGATGTCACTTAAAGAAAAGAAACATTTTTATTTGGGCGCTGAAGGTGTAGAAAACGAAATTAAAAATAGGCTTCGTTGGGGTTTGGAAACTGATTATTTTTAGTTAAAAAAATATACTGGAACCATAATGTGCGTTTTACTGGCTGAAGTTGAGTGTTGCTTGATCATTTATAGTGGTTATTTTATTTATGTATTTGTATAGTCACGAATCTTATCAACTTTCAGGTGCTTAGGATGACGAAACTGTGATATTTTTTGAAAGGCTAATTACCATAGAAGACAGAATTGGGTCTAGGCAGTTTATTCGGACTTGTTTATAAGAGGGATTTTCATTCTCTTCCTACTCGATTCACGCGCGAAACTTTTAAATCCACTTCTGACATGTACTTAATGTATCAACATGAATGATGTTTTTGTTTTGATATTTTTGTTTGCCACAATCTCGCGGTTCGTGTAATTGTGTGAATTATTTTGCAGCCACGGACAAGCCAGAAGTGCTAGAAGAAACTCATAACGCGGCCGAAACCATCTCGGCAATGCTCAACAAGTATGGTCCGTGGGGATATCTAATGATGGGCTTACTGATCTGTGGCACCGTTTTGTTTTTCTGCGGTCTGTGGGAGTGTTGCTGTAAAAGGCCGAAATCAGACGTGGAACCTCCACCGCCGCTTAGCCAGCCAACCACCGTCTTGATTATGGATTGTGGACCGGGAAACGATACCACCCGGCAAGTGATGCCACCCAATTACGACGATCTAGATCTGCCGCCTTCGTACACTACTTTGTTCCCTAATAAAAGCAATTTTGGTGAAGGTGATAATGATAATGGTAGCGCGGCAAACAATCCGGACCAATCTTTACCGACTGCAGAAGAAAACAGCGACGAAGTCCAAATTAGACCTAGCACAAGTCACGAACAAGAGAGCTAGGTTATTTTCGAATGTTTTTGTAACCGTTTATTGTAATTTTTGAATCGTTTTATGTTTATATTGTGATATTGCGACTGATTTGACCGTAGATTTTAACAAACCTCTGTGTAAAACATCAGTAACTTCGTAAACGTATTATAATATTTATAATACGGCGCTCTGTTTTTAATGAATAGGAATATAGTGATGATTATTTATTTAACGACCGATGACTATGTTTTATAATAAAAAAGAAGTTCCCCGATTATTTTTTATTTGAGCTTGATTTCTGCATACTTTTTTCTACTAATGCTGTTACTATCTACTTAAGTAACCTCTCTGTAAATTAACGCGTTGCCTACATCGGAGAAAAAAATATCAAAATGTTGGTCATAATGTTTATTTATTTATTTTGATATAAAATTCGTATAATGTAAGAACTATTGATGCGTGGGTCAAGCCAAACCAAACGCAAGTATAATTTCATTTTTACCAACTCCTTTGCATATTCCAAAAACAATCATGTCATGGCACTTAAAAATATAAACTCAACCCTAACAATTTAGGTCCGAATATATTTGCTCCAGATATATACTTAAAAAATGACGCCAGTCAATTAAAAATCATTTAAAAAAATCTGTAATTTTTTTTTAAACCGTTATTCAACAAAAAAAGAATTATCAATAGTAGTATTCGAACTTCCTCGAAATTAGTCTAGTTAGGTTTTAAGTATCCCTGAATAAGAATCTGTTGATAGTAGGCAGCTCGTTAGAAGTTGTGGTTAGTCAGTTAGTTAGTTATTGGTTGGTTACCACTGATAAACGGAAACATATTGATTGATATCGGGAATTGATATTGAACGTTTAAGCATTCCACCATAAAATACAGTTCACCCCACACTTGCCACTGTTCTTTTTCCTTACATTCAAAAGATCACTGACCACATATCAAAAGTTCTATAACAACTAGGATACAAGAACATGAAAGAGACTTAAGACTACGACAAACAAACTCATCAGCATCAGCATTTTGCTACCAACGAAAAATTCGGAAATCTATAAAAATCTATAGGCAAGCAAACAATCTTAACCGCGTTTGAGGTCTTTAACTTCCTCCCATATAGGAATCAGTCATCCGAGACAATGTTCAGGCCTCTTGTTTAGCTCCGCCCCTCTCAAACAATATATAAGCAGGTAAAGAGTAGAATGCGAGCCAGTTTCAGTTAAGCTCTGAAGAATCCAACAGGATATTTGGTGAAACGAGAGCAAGTTCGACTCATTAATAACTGACTCAGAAGGAACCTAGAAGATTTGTAAATAGTATGATACCTAGGTAATGGCTGGTCAGATGTATATTAGAATTCTAAATAAATTAGCTACGTCTGCTTTCCCGATATACATTTTCAATGATTTTCTTATTTTATACTTTCTATGTCTTGATTGAGATGTTGATTTCGCTTATCTCCGACTGCAGAGGCGATCCAGGCCACCTGATTTGTCACCCTTGCACCTTCACCTCAACAACAAAGGTATTTGAATTTGATTTGCCTATTTTAATTTCAAGGTCCTGATGAGGCCCATCTTTGTTAAGCCGAAGTTTGTTAAGTCGCATTAATAACGAATAACGAAAAAACAACATTGAAGGCCGGTGAAAATTTTGTCTAAGACTAATAATGGGCAAAATAATATTTCCAATTTTGAATTGTCAATGCCCCTGTATGCGATAAATCATTGCCAATTGCATAAGCATTTGTCAACTGTTAGAAATGATTTAAGCGCGCAGTATGTCAAATTCAATGCTTAATTGTGCTGAATAACTTTTGATTGACAAAATGGAATAACAACAACAATATATATATATATATATATATATATATATATATATATATATATATATATATATATATATATATATATATATATATATATATATATATATATATATATATATATATATATATATATATATATATATATATATATATATATATATATATATATATATATATATTCACGTATTGATTCACGGATGGAAAAATGTCATGACACTATATTCCGGGATATCATTCGTTCGCTTGTTGAACTCCGACTGGAATCCTGCAGACGTTTCGCCAAAATCTCACTTGGCATCTTCAATGCTCGCGCTCCGAAAACACTTCGAACACTCAGTGTATATATATATATATATATATATATATATATATATATATATATATATATATATATATATATATATATATATATATATATATATATATATATATATATATATATATATATATATATATATATATATATATATATATATATATATATATATATATATGTTGAACTCCGACTGGAATCCTGCAAATAGTCTGAAATCAACCCCCCACTTGCCACCGTTGTCCTTTCTTACATTCAAAACATCACTGACCACATCTCAAACATTCAAAAGAAATATAACGTCAAAACCAGATTTACCACTTGTCCAAAAATATATCAACGTCCGATCCGTCAAAGACAAAACTCCATTTGAGAAGCCAGGAGTTTACAGCATTTCATGCATATGCGGCATTGGAGAGACCGGACGAAAAATATCAACTAGGCTCAAAGAACATGAAAGAGCCTTAAGACTAAAACAAATAAACTCATCAGCAGTTCTTCTTCTACCAACGAAAAATCCGAGGGTCTATAAAAATCTGAAAACAACCTAACAATCTTAACCGCGACTCAGTTCTTTACCTGTCACCAATAAGGAAAACAGTCATCCAATACGGTGTTTTTGCCTCTCATTTAGCTCCGCCCCCTCAACAATATATAAGCAGGTACAGAGTAAAATGCGAGCTATTTTCAGTCCAGCTCTGAAGCCAACAGGTTGATTGCGGAAACGTTAGCAAGTTCGCCTCAGCTACAACCGACGCAGGAGGAATGCAGATCTTTTCAAAGTAGTGCAACAAATATTGTAAATATTCGTTATTATTTCCCCTACAAGGTGTTCTTATTGCAGCTTTGAGTTATGATAGGATTTGGGATGATTCATAAGTCAAGATGACTTGGTTATTAAATAAAACAAAAACGAAACTATGCCAAACCGTCATTTTGACTTATGTTTTTGCAAAAGCAATATAGAATTGTCTCGTATAATTTCATCATAATGTACTGAACGGTTCAAAAGTTAGAAGGGGGACGACGGAGTTTTTGTCCCCATTGTATGTACTCATGTAAGTCCTGAATATAGTTATTTTAATACTTTTTTTGCGTAAAAGTTATTGACAAAATGCATTTTGCAAATTAGCCAAATTTATAAACAAAATAACTACTTCTGCGAGAGTAGTTAGTTCACACGATACGTTAGCAAAGTACGATCAGTTTGTTTCTGTGTGTGTTGTGGCACGTGACCATCTATTTGCAAATTTTACCTGTGACTTTTACTCATTTTCTTGCAAATTCCGAATGCTCAGTATTTCTCTCGAAAAACCGACTTGTCATTGGCGGTTTTTACGTTTCCTCTGGTTTTTGGTGCATGCGCCGGGTCACTTGTCAGAATATTCAACTTATCTATCCTAGAAATTAGCTAGCCTTTTTTTGAAACACCCCATATAGAACAAATTATTGTTGAAAACGAGTGTTAAGAAATCTGAAAAGTCGTTAGCATTCTGCATAAAAATGGGACATTCTATATTCCCATACTGGATTTTTGATTTGTAATTTAGAGGCAAGGGATAATTGATTTTAAACTAGTTGCGGAGCAATACATCGCTTACATATTAATTAACATTAAAAAAGTTTTTAGTCTTTTTTTCATATTTTGGGGAAAACATGCCGACCCATTTAGCTATTAAATGATAAAAAAAAGAAATATATTACTTTAATATTAGCACAAGTTGGGTCTCCATATATTTCGTATCGACATCTACGTATTTTTGTGAAGGTAAGTGTATTCAGTTTCGAGACAAAAGCTAAGCTTAAAATGTTAGGTACGGGAAATCTATATTTAACTTATTTTACACTATTTCTGGGACGATGCAAAAGAAACTAAAACAAAGCTAGTTTTTATTTTGTACTACAGAAATACATAGTGTTATAAAATGTTCCATTAACTTACCTTAGAAAATACGTGTTGATTTTCATCCTTCCGGCTTTAACGGGTCCAATTTTCTTGTAAGTGCAGTTTGTCAATTTTTTGTTATTATTGGTAACTGGTAGCAGTTATTATTGACGGATGCTGTTTTTGAAATAATCTGCCCAATTTTCGTAAAACAAAATATGCCCTCTTACAAAACTGCCTTTGTTTTGAAGAAACAGGATAAAATAAAAAAAATTGACCATTTCAGTTATCCTTTGTAATTCAAACACCTTGTATCGTAATGATATGAGCTAAAGCTGTTTTTTTTTTGTTTCCTTTTTCAAAAATGTAAACAAACAAAATAGTAAACATTTTTTCACGATTACTATTATAAGTTGTTTGGAAAAAAAAAAGTGGGCCATAAAAATACAAAATCTGAAAGGAATATGGCATGAATCACAACAATAATATTATTTGGAACACTCTTTTTTTTAATTGTAGTTTAGAAAAATTTAGAGAAGCAAATCAAGAAGATTAAATACTTATACTAATGATTAAGAGCTAACTATGTGAGGGGGGCGGAAGTAAAAGAGGAGCGTGAACATTTCTCGGATAGCTGATACTAGTGAACCTGAATTGTGGTTAAGATTGTTTGATTGTTTCGAGATTTCTATACACTTTCGGATTTGTATTTGGTAGAAGAATTAAAAAATTTTAATCTGGCCGAATTAAATGTCTAGTTGCAGGATTGTGGTAGGCACCTGCGGATAAGTTTATTGGTCTTAGTCTTTGGCCTTTTCATGTACTTTTAGCTTAGTTGATATTTTTCGTCCTGTCTCTCAAATTTTTGGACAATTGTTAAATCTGGTTTAAACGTTATATTTGTTAAGAACTTTTGATATGTGGTTACTGATGTTTACAATGTAAGAAAGGACAACAGTGGTAAGTGTGGGGTTACTCTCGGACTCATTTTCTATGGATCGTTGTAGTGAACTGCATTTTGCGATGGAACGCTTATATCTCTATTGTGGGAATTATTATCGAGAAGAGCAGTTATAAGATGTTTTAATTCTGGGTTCAGTGATTCGGGTTGAGATAGTATTACGGCTCTGTAAACAAGAGAGTTGATAACCGATGATTTTGGATGGATAGGTTTGATTTTTTATTAATAAGAATATCTACTAATGATAGATTATTTGCTTCTAATTCAACAGCAGAAAGTATGTTAGGGTGTATAGAATGTAAATAGCTAAGAAAATGTGGAAGGGATTCTTCACCATTGAGCCAAATAGCAAAAGTGTCACCAACGTAGCGTTTCCATTATTTGGATGTTAGATGGAAGCAAGCAGTTTCGGTTAAGCTTTGAATGATTGTCGCATTTTTTTGATTTGCGTTTTTTTTTGTCGGTACATCTGTGGTTAACATTCCCTCCAGATCTTAACGTCATAGCTTTACAATTGCAAAAGTTACAGACTCAAGAATACATCTATCTATTTGCTACAATGAATTTGTATTAAATTTTGCTTTAAAAACGAATTAACAAAAGTATTTTGACAATTATTCGTTAAAGAAAACGGTCGTGGATACATTGAAACATTGATATAATAACAGAAGTTTTGGTTAATAATTGCATCGTGCAGCAGCAAATTTGGTGCCAAAAGACCTAATTTTATGCAAAAAAGGGATGGTGTTTATATCGAAAAAGGATGATTTTCGAGGCTAAATCCGACCCCACATTCGTCAATTGCAGCCGAGACGTACTTCAGGCAAGTGAAAAGGCGTCCACCAAATGAGCCGAGGCCAAAAAACCACGTCGTTTTCGATCAAAAAAGAAAGCAGTGCTCGCGGTTCTCACGAATTACAAAGGGGTAGTACATCACGAATTTTTAGAAATAGACAGACACGATGTTTGAAACTAAATAAAATTCGATTCATTTTTGAACGACTTTATTTCATGAACTTTCGTAGAAAATGCTATGAATACGCTTCGAGCCGAATTGAATACGCTTACCGTCCTATATTTACAAATAAATATATACTTATTTACAGCAGGTACAAAAATCTAACCTAAAACGCTGTTGCGCTTTTCGAAAAACTGCTAAATTATCGTTACACGTCAACAAAAACAAAATAAAATTCTTTTCTTGCTATTTTCATTCAACAACACAGCAAAGGGGTAATGAGATATGTACATAAATACTAGTAATTAATTTTTTCGTTTTGTAATAAGTATACACTTCGTATGAAGGGACTTAAACCTCTCGAGACTAGATAAAAAAAACATTACGCATTCTTGGAGTTGAGCACACCACGCACCTCTCTTAAACTTATGTTGGGTTTATCACAATAGGTCCATTAAACAGCCAACTTTACTGGCCTTACTTTTGCTTTACATCGACCAAAGTACTCTTTAAATTACGGCTTTGCTTCAAGTCAAAGATATATGTCTATATCCAACACCAATCATCACGTAGGAGGATGACTGGTATGATTATTCGGCAAATGTGCAAGCATAATCCTAGCACTATTGTACGATGGTGGGGCTTGTTCCAATCTAGCCTCTTCCATTATGGTGTCCAGTGCGTGAACCGGTACCACAAAAACGTCATATTTGCTTTTCTCGGTGCCGTTTCTTCCGTTTCTGCCGTAGACTAGACTTTCGTAGTCCGGAGGCGCGAACTGGTCATACGAAGGCGGTGGAGTCTCAGGCACAGCTACATTCACGCTTTGCACGTTGCTATTCCTGGTAAAGTTTCTTCTGGCGTTGCGTCTGCAGCACCATTCGCTGCATGAGACAATGAGGAAAAAAACGATGAGGCCGCCGAACGAGGCAATGTACCATATCACCGACCACGTGTCCAAAGTGGCGGTATCTGGAATCAATAACGAGAATAATAACAATAAAAATATTAATAATAATAATAATTATTATTATTATTATTATAACAATAATAACAATAATAATAATAACAATAATAATAATAATAATAATAATAATAATAATAATAATAATAATAATAGTCTTTATGGAGATATTTCAAAATTTTGAACAAAATATAGACAATAGTACATTATGCAACAAGTGCGGTAAACGACATTTGGCTCACGAGTTTATTTGACACAAGCGGAGCGAGTGTTTAATAAACGAGTGACTTAAAAAGTTTATCGAATGTGTTGCATACTATACTTTTTCTACGACCGTTAGTTTTTGGGTAAATTTTCGACAAACAACTCGAATACATTCACTGACATGACCTTGAGAATCGACAAACGTCAAAATTCAAGGCATGGAACCTAACCAAAACTAACCAAAATATCCTTAAATGTCCGAAGTGGCTCGGATCCGTGGGAAACGAAACTGACGTGGTAAAGTGACGCTTCCCGCTTGCATTTTACAGCCGAGAGTAAAAATAAATTACTTAATAGCAATGCAAACACATATCTTAATCGGCGAAGTCTTTCTTAAAATCTTGATCTCAGCTACTCAACATTAACAGTAATACAGTAAGTATTACCGTAATAATGAAACGACAGCTATAATAATAATAAGAGTCTAAAAATTTATTATTGGTAAAATATTAATTTACTTGGGGCAGAGACTTTTGTAACTAATGGAACTTATTTTTTTTTAATACTAGAACTAGAACTTGATTCAAAATATTTATTATAATTATTTTCAAGCTCAATGGCATCATATACAGAGAGTTTTTCATCCTTAGAGGCGCATTGTGAATTTCATACCGAAACACTAAACGATCTCTCAGGTACGTTGGTAAAGAATATTTCATAACCTTAAATATAACAATTGCAAGTAAAATTGAAACAGGTATTTAATTTTGAGCCATTTCGACGCAAATATTTTTTCTGATATACGGTCAAACTTTCTCAAACCATAAACGAATGGGGCACAGCTGTTCTGGATTTTTTGTAATTTGGATTTATCAGCAAGGGTTAAGAATGTCTCCTAGAGTTTTTCTAGTGCTTTAAAATTCTATACATCTTTATTTGCTTGTAGCGTTTTGAGGGATATATAAGTCTTTTTACATAATTTAGAAATCTAAATCTCAAGTGACCATCCATTATCACTCCTAAGTTTTTGCTTCATTTAAACTAGGATCTTCATTTTCCAATTGAATTTTAAGATGATCACACAAAAAATTATAGCTTCCAGGAGGAGCGAATAGCAGATTTTGTGTTTTTTTTGGATTTAGCGTTTTTTAATATATTGAGAAAGACTTTTAAGGTCCGAACTAAGATTAGCTTTGACATTATCATAATTAGTTAGAGTTAGTTAAATTTGTGGATCTTGCAAATTTGGTGGTATCTATTCAGTTTTCGACAGTTTTGTTCTTTTTGTATTTTTGAAATGTTACCGATGGCGCTAAAGGTTTATTCAGCCTAACCTAATCAGTATCTCAGTAACGAAAAGGTAAACTAGTGCAAATAGAAACTAACACTTCCATAACAACAGTTTTATTTTTATTAGCAATCTAACATACGTCAATAGAATCAAATCGAAAAACCAAGTGCTACTCAATGAAGTGTTTGTATCAGTGACGTGATCCATTGTAAAGGTACAGACGGTGACAATGTGTGAATTTATCATCCCACATCATCTATATATTTACGAGATCATATCTTAAATTCACATATTCGCGTGGCGAACTTTATAACGCAAACCTTTTTAAAATGCGTAATCAGGTCTGACGGATGCGGAAGGGGGATATCAATGTGATACACGTTTCAAAACACGCAACGAATGATGCAAATGACGAAAAATCGTTAGAAAAAAATTACTACAAAAAATAAAATTATTGATGTTAATTATTGATTCTGTAGAAAACTGGTAGACTATTTTCTTTTCTTTTTTTCTTAATTAAGTTGGTGATTGTTTACTCTTCGCCGACTGGCAGTTTGCGTTGTTTTAATTAGTCTACAGAATAAGCCTGATGCATTTTTATCGCTTACATCTTTGGGCAATCTATCTTCAATTGGACGAGACAGGGTTGTTGAGCGCTAAGATAAGTCGTCCCTACTATTCACAAATCTGGATTCATTAACAATCGACGCGGGAGTAGCCTATGGAAGTTTCTTTGAAAAATAAGTCTTCCTCGGTGCAAGAATCAAATCCCCTCACATACGCAAAATGACTGCCTTTTATTCTTTTATCCACAGACCACTCAATATACCACTTTCCACAGACAATTTTGAAAAAGATTTAAATATAGAACAAACAGTTCTAAATAACTCTGAACTCTATCCTTCCCATATTAAATACCACACATGAAATTTATAAAACAATAAAATACATAGGAGAACCTAGCAGGAAAATTTCGAAACATCTGTCTAAATTTGGTCTTAAGATTGCTTTTAAAACTGAAAACACCATGGGAAAATTTTTCGAAAATAATAAAACTAAATCACAAAATATTAAAAAATCCGGAATATAAAAGTTGAAAATGTGGATCATGTCCAAAACTTTATATCGGGGAAACAGGTAAAACATTTAAGAAACGCAAACGAACATAAAAGAGGGTATAAAAACAAAAGTTCGGATTCTAACTATGCCATTCATTAAAATTCAGAAATGCACAAGTTTGACGATAATTTTAATATTTTGCATAATGAATCAATAGCAAAAAAGTAAAGTCGAATCTATTACTTGATGGTCATTTTGATTTAAATGGGTCTCCATGGTTAAATTTAAATTTATAACATTACAACAGCGATTAAGAATGTATTACTACTTGTTTATACATATAGATGTTGGAAAATTGTCATATTTTGTATTTGGTGGTTTTGCTGTTACAGACACAGCTGTCATAAACCAATAACTGTAAAAATCTGAACATTGTTCGTTCTAATTTAATTGTGTAGTATAACAAACATATAATACAGAAAGTATTTAGTTGGGCAGTCGACTGGCGTGGTCTAGCTACTCTACTGAACTAGTGTGTGGCGCAGTAGTACGCAACAATAATAAAAAACGAAATTGATGATTAAACCTTATCCTAGCTACGAATTTCGAAAACATGGTTATAATAAATGCGAGAGAAAAGCTGGACAAAAAAAAACAAAATACAAAAAACATTATAATTAAATCGAATTTTAAGAATCTTATCATCCATGATGTAGACTTTAGAGTGTGATTAATAAACAAGTATCTGAAGAAGAATCTAAACGTGTTGCATACTTTATTATTTTAACAAGCGTCACGAAAAAAATACGCTACACGAATAGATATATAAATATTGAATGGCGAAAATGTTATATTTTAAAGTACGGCATAGAAAAAACATGTCTCTCCAAAATTTAAATGCTCCTTGCCCCGGGCGGAGACGGTTGTTATTTCTCGCTCGATTTGTTTATATCAAAAAATGTAAAATGCCAGAATACTGTCCATATTTCAATTTAATGTATCAGAGCAAAGAGTGTCTGCAATTTAAGTCGTCTGGCACGTCATTTAAGTGCTGAAGAGGTGAAAGAATGATTCTTGTTGAGGAGTGCCGAAGCCATGGAAAATTTGATAAATGTCCAGCAAAATTTCTTTCCTAGAGTTGTAAATCGTTACAGAGAAACACTACTGCACACTAGAAGAAAATGACAAGGTCGCCACTATATTACATCTTGTGCCGATGGTACCAGCAAATGTTCTAAGATTAACAATGGAACACCGTATTGCAAAGTTACAATTTGCCGGGGACCATGTAAGTGCTCGACGAATGGTCAAATGGCCTCTTCAGAGATCAGTCCGAATAGTGCTTAAATACATCTAATAGACGAATGCATATGCTTAACGCATGCACAGAATTGGTTGTCTTTTGGGTACTGCACAAAGCGTCCCACTGCGACATCACTGGGAGCGTTTTGCTAGGGTGATTTTAAGATTAAAATGTCAAATGAATATATACCCGGAACCCTATTCTAACTGAGCTACAAGCATTTCAAATTTTAAAGACCAAAAAAACCGCTTTATTGAATTAGTTCGGCTCTTAATGCTATTATTAAAAAGTCCAAGTGTTAAATTAAAATACTCCTAAAGGTACAATGTTTACTTTTTCGAATAAAGAATACGCCGACCTTCACTTTCTTTATGGGTTGTGTAATGGAAACGGACGAGCGGTAGTTGATGCGTATCGTCGACGATTTCCCAATCGTGGAGTACCTTGTAGAACTGTTTTTAACAATGTCCATCGATGTTTGAGAGAAACAGGAAACCTTCCTAAAGCTACTTCTGAAGGTCCTGTTCAACAGGAACTTTCACAAGAATACGATTGATGCTCACCATTCTATTAGTATCCGAAGAATAGATAAGAACAGACTTAACATAAGCCCGATGGGAGTTTGGGGCACTTTACACAAATTAGATTTGTACACGTACCACATCTGGCATTCACGACAAATTGCTGAATATGTGAATATTTGATGTGGCATTACTGATGACCGCCTCATTGGTCCGTTTATAATTGATAAACATCTCACGGCCATGCGTCATTTACGTTTCATTGAAAATGAACTTCCAATATGTTCCTCTTGATGTAAGACAACAAATGTGGATCCAGCACGATAGCGAATCTCTTCACTTTTTTGTGCAGGTAACAGAATTTCTTAATCAAAATTATACAAACCGGTGGAATGGAAGAGGTTCAGCAGTTTCTTGACCAGCAAGGTCACCTGACCTTAGATTGATTTTTATGGGGACCACTAAAAATTTTAGTTTATGCAGAAAGTATTGAAACCAGAGAACAACTGGTAGCTAGAATTATGGATGCCCCAGCAACTAGTTGTGCTGATCCTGAGGCTGTTAGCAGAGCTACCACTTCAATTCTAAGAAGAACTGGGTCGACATTTTAGACAACTAATTCAATAAAAT